AGCATATTAGTTAGATTTTGTTATACGCTTGACAGCACGTAGTCGATATAGAAGTGTCCTGACCTGTATCGTATATAAGACCGTGCTATGAACACTTTAATTCTAGTAAAGGATTTTTCATTCCGCGTAGCGAATAAACAGTTAAATCAGTCAGCATCCCCTTAACTCGCCAAGCTTAATTATACGAGGAAGCGATCGAAATGATGCGGTTGAAAGGAGTAATATACACAGTTTCTGGGACACGTCGTAATGGCAGATCCATCGATATGAAAATCGGCGTAATAGTAAGAAGCCGTTGCGCAGGTTGTAGGCCGCATATCGCGCATCGTTCCAATCTGATTAGCGCGCTGATATAACATTCAATTTCCTACAACGGATAGGTAGGGTAGATTATACACGGATACCTTGGTAGATAATATTACGTGTTCCAGATCGCGCACATCTCTCTCTCTCTCTCTCTCTCTCTCGAATAGCAGACGACCAGAAGAGTATATAGACGCGCGATTGAACGCTCTGATGGACGGATTCGTTTTTTACCGCAGAATTATTTAAATGGAATCGCACGCGGAAGTGTGCCATCTGGTTGCCATAGCTAAACTGTACATAAAACCGAATATCCGCTTATCGAAGCCGGATCTTCCATTAGGGGCTTCGTACACGAGAAAGACTTTTTTTCATGAATAACAGAAAAAATGATACAACTTTTCGATGAAAAATCTGTGTTTGCTGTGTTACCTAAATTAAATTATACAGATGACCATCTAGATGAGACTTTGGCGTCATCTTATCGATCTTTATAATAAAAATATGTATTATCTATATCTCCATCTCGGATGAAAAAAAGTATTATCTTGAATAATTTTCAGATCATTTTGGTTTAGAGTCATATTAAAAATATGAATGCATATATTTTTATAACCCTTTTATAATTTACATTTCTTTTATAATCTGTGTTTACGTATAAGCAGTCGTGAAAATTATTAAGCGCGCTTATTTCATACGCTTTTCGAAATCAAAATTGCAAGCTTCAAACATCATCGGATGCAATCTTCGTTATCCCAAAGAGCATATATATATACGAACTGCCTAGAGTTATCTAGCTCGTCGGGTCAGATAAAATCTTTGTGACGGAAGTTAAAGCGAATACAAAATCGGGAGATGATGAGAGGAGCTAGCGAGTTAACGCGCGGGCAAAGTGAAAACTTTTTCGCTATGAGGTAAAAATCACTGGCGTTGGTTCGGTGCTTTCGGCGTTGCTTCGAAACCGACGATCCGTGGATTTCCGTCTACAGGGGGTGGACTTCCTCTTCCCTGGCGAGACGAAAAGCGCCAGGGAAATTCTCTCTCTCTGGTTCGCGCACTCCGGTCTTTTTCCCTTTTTCCGAAAAACATCGTGGAAAAACATATCACGAAGCCGTGTTCTGCAACATCGCGTCCCTCTATACGAACAACTCGAAAAATCGACAGTTTCGGCTGTTTTAAACCGTGTATGCGCACGTGTGTGTGTGTGTGTGCGCGCGCGCATAGTACCAGATTTTTACATTAGACACCCCGCTAGATACGATGCCCGAGGTCAACGAAATTTTGCACGGATAAAGGGAGAATGAAAAAAAAGAACTTGTTTAAATCTGAATCATCAAAGCGTTGAAAAAGTTTTTCCCTCTTTCTTTATCATATCTATATATACGTCGCAACCGAAGCGCGCATATGAACACGTCGACGTGACCTATTAGTTGAAAGGAATGAAAATAACACTGTGCATTTTCCCTATATATATATATCGCAATCCGCGACGTAAAATATGATATTCATTTCATATTTTTAATACTCGCATGCGAGATTGCACGAAACGGTTGTATGAAATATATGTACATGGAGAAAGACAATTCCCTGCTTTAATTTCGTAATGAAAGCACAGATGAGAAATTTAGAAGCGGAACAAATCGTATTAAAATTTGATATTAAAGCTCGCGTGAGCTATATAGCTCGGGAATAAAAAGAGAGACAGATAACAGAGAGAGAGAGAGAGAGAGAGAAGAGCGAGCCCGTCTCTTCTGTCGGAAGTTACGGGAGTGCGCCGCTGTTTTCCTCGGGAAACGCTATTGGAAATTCTTTGTATGCTCCTGAAAGCAGCACGCGACGGGCGTTGTCAGCTAGACGACTACAAAGTATTGCAGATTTGCCGGAGCTCGGAGACGTGGGGCGTCGAAAAATTCTCCGCTTGCCAAAAAGACCGCCTCGCCGTCGAAAATTTCGATGCTTCGTCGAACGGAGCATCTCGTTACTCCCTTTGAGCGGTCTACCGGACGGGAATATTTCTCTTTTTTTTTTTTTTACCCCCGACAATTCGCATTTACAAACATTGCGCGCACAAACCAAATTGTTGAAATACAAAAATCAGGCCAAAATTGCTCCGAAATACGTGGAGGAAAAAAATCCGTTTCTACGCTCGAGCGACCGCGGAATATACAATACATTGCATAATTATAATACGTGAATGTTCCGACATTCGCGTAAAATTGAATTCACCTTAAATATCGCGAAACATATTAACGTTACGATCGAGCTGTATGTGCGTGAATTTTACTCGGTCGAAAGTTTCGTCGAGCGGCGTGGAACGGGCACGCGTGAAGAAAAAGAAACTGCTTTCACGTCCGCACTCCGAGGATATCGCACAAATAGAAAATAGTTATACAATGCGGTACATACCGCTAAAGATTCGAGACGAGAATTCCGCTACGCGTGTTCGAAAATTCTTAGCGGTGCATCCTGCGTAAATGCACGCGAGGCGCGGTTCGGGAAAATTCTCTCGCGCGCTTTACCTATACATATATGTACATTTATATACATATATACACATATATATATATATGCGCAATGAGAGAATCGTACATTCTTGCGGCCGTTTAGAAAGTATACACGCGGATAGGTTTCGCGAGGAATTGGTTAACTCTCTGCCCGATGCGCTGGTGGAGGACTTGCGCAAGTACATTTGTGCAGAAACGGGGCCGAGAAGGAAGAAAAATATAATACCCAGGATGACCCAACGCGCAATTAAAATTAGAAATAAAATCCACGCTCTCCAATTTTTTCTTTTTTTTTTGTTTCTTAACCAAACACGCGAATGTGATTCTACGCACCTCAATCTTTTACGCGATTTACAAATAATTGTATTCCATAATAGGCATTGTAAAATCAACATGTTGACGTATCATTTATGTAATAGCTGTACACTGCAAAAACATTTATTGAATTCGAATAAATATTTATTTCGATACTGCCTAATAAATCATTTATTCGAAATTATAATAATATTGATTTGATGTAAAAAATATTTATTTGTTTCAAATAAATGATTTATTAGGCAGTGTTGAAATAAATATTTATTAAATCAATAATTTTTTCAGAGTATTAAAAAAGAAAAAAACCTCGCGCATACATTTCCTTCGAGAAACTATAAATATTTTAAATTTTTCAGCAACAAGGCATATTGTACGCGTTTATACACAGAGAATTTTCTCTTAAAATTTACCGTGAAAATCATGGTAATCGTGAGACAATATGGTATATATTTTTATAAGAAATTTTACAAGAGTTCTTTGTGTGATTAATATATTTATCATAATAAAAAATATTAATATCAATCACAATAACATATAAAATATGTTCAATTAATTTTACTATATATAATACATAGTAAAAGTTACTATGTATATTTAGAATTTTTACATGTAAATTTAGAATTTTGACAATTTCTCGAAGCAAAGAGCGTGTAAGGCGCAGCTTTCTTTTCCCGATTTATATATTACAAAGTTTTTATCGTGTAAAAATACAGGAAATAATATGGCCGATTACGATGTACCAGTAACACATAAGAGCCATAAAGTTTCTTTTCCCTCACTTTCTATTCGAGCGTTACTGCGAGAATATAACCGATAGAGATCGTTTTAAATGCAGGTTTAACCTCGCTCCATTTTAACAAGTTTAAAAAAAGGATGCGGAAGAGTTGAGGCAACGATTTAGGCAACAAATTCGTGTAACTTGGAAATATGATTATTCGTAACGCAAACTTTCACGAAAGCGCGTCAAGTTGAATATCGAGGCTTTACTCCAGAAGCATGATTTAATGTAAGCCATTTAAGAAGGATAAAGTTTCTTTTACAGAATTTCCATAGTACCATCCTCTTCCTGAGGAATATGGATCCGCTTAAGCCTCATTCTAATCGTGGCCTGGAAAGAGTATCCCCTCTCGAGAATAAAAAAAATAAAGGAAAAAAAAAGAATTTCTCTTCGCGCTCATAAATAAATCAACGAGCATCTCGCGATGAGAGAAAAAAATTTTTTTACATTGTTGGAAATAAATCCACCCCGCGCTAGAAAGCTACGCGTATTACTTCGTAATTTTTCGTGAAAAAAAAACGACTCGTTCTCTGTGGCTCAGCAAAACATATATCCAACAATCGAAGCGCTCGGCGCAACAATGGCCCGACCGTATGAATTTTTCTTTCGGGAGAAAATAAAACTGCGGTTTTACCCACAACCTATCGGTAATTCATTCAATCCATTTTTTCCATTTTTTTTCGCAGATTGTTTGACTATTGTTTCGATTAACAATATTCCACAATATCGCGTCTCTCTCAACAATATATATTATTATCCGAGCGTAAAAATTTTACATTTAACACAGAAAATATGATTATTATTTAATTCGTTACCCAATTTACCTTAAAAAACAAATATAATAGATAATCGAAATTACATTAAACTCGTAACAACATTGTGGAATAAAAACAATACATATAGGGAGATGAAAAATAAAGAGAAAAGTTTAAAAATATTACGCCAAAATTAGCGGATACAATAGCATATTGTAGGATTATAAAAATAATTCTCGGATATATCATCTCGCGGTTATACTTATTTTCAAAAAGTAGCACACACAGTTACACATACACACACACACACACACACACACATACACCGTAGAGGCCGGAACTCACCTCGATCGTAAGTATCAATTCCCGAGGATGTGACACGGTTTAAATTCACCGATGTCGCGAAGGAGAAGAGACCCAACCGGAACTTGCGCACAATATATCCCTTCGTTATGCAAGAAAGCCTTACTCCGATATAACAAAGCCCCTTGGCACGAAACGTGTAAAAAATCGCGCGGTAAGCACACTGGTATATTTACGACGGCGACGCTGCTTCCTCGTGAAGTTCCTCCGAGACGCGCGGAACTCTCCTCTCTCGCTCGGTCCTTTCGCGCCGGACGACGCTCGTGCACTGGCTCGCGCCGCGTTCGGTGCCGCGGACTCGTCCTCGTGTGATGACCCCCTTCTAGAATTCTACGGCCCTACTGACGTCGCCGACGTGTCGGACGTGGTGCGGTCACCAGTGTTGAGTGGTATCATGTATCTGAATACAGTATCCAGGTACATTAGTTGTGGATCTGAGCCTGTACACCGAACAAAATTCTGTTCTCATCTTTATAGTATGTGCCACTTATATAGGCGCCAAAAGGATCTTTTTAATTTAAGAGCAAAACTCTCTAAATGATATTCTTATTAGATATTCCCATTAGAGATGCTTATAATATGCAAGAATATATACTTGATTGAATGTATTCTTTAAAATTATTAATCGTGATAACAAAAATAATCTTTCAAATGGACATTTATTATTTATTACATAGATATTTAAATATTGAACGTATAATTGAATATTTTATGTATATATCGACATAATTAAATACATTTTTATATTATATTATTTTTAGTATTAATTAATAACTTATCAATTTATTATACATTTAAATAATTCCAATAATATTATTTTATTATATTTATTTATTGCGAAATTAAAGTTGCAAAAAAGATTAAAAATAGCTTCTTAATTTAAGAGGATATTCCAAAAAGCATCATGTAAAAAAGAAAATATCCTTATTAAGAATATATCTATTAAGAAAACTTAAAAAGTATACATTTTAAGAAAATAAATTTTTCGGTATATCTGAGATACATTTGAATTGAAGTATATACGTATCTATGTATCTAGATACAAAATATTCTTTAAATTTTTAAAAGAACAAGACTACAGCAGAAACAACTGACAATGCTGTTGCATGAAGTTTTCTCTTATTTGTCAGACAAGCAAAAAAATATCGCATAAATGTATACACGTTTTCTTCATATCAAACATTTGTTTTTATAATTCAACACGATTATATATATTGTCATCATCGGTTGAGCGATTATTTAGCATTATGGTGGTCAAATGTTATTAAGACTAACGAATAAAGAGTCGTAATGTAAACACAAAGTATTAACAAAGAAAAGATTTATTCAGTATATTTTACGTCAGATACTTTTTAAGTATCTGAATATCTGTATCTAAATACATTTTAATTTGTGTATTTGTACCTAGATACTGCGTCTAAATGTATATCTTACCCATCACTGCCGACGTTACGCGGAATCGAAATCGATTCGAAATGAAATTCCTATATATTATCGAGAAGAGGAGACGACGAACAATTATTATCCGCGCGAGTTGATGAGGCCAAACCGTTTGCAAGCTCGGCTTAGCAATTATCTCTCTCTCTCTCGATTATTCCTTTGTAGATTACATCGTCTGCGATACCGATACAGAGAATTAGCGCGACCTTTTAAGGATAATAATTCCGATAATATTGTGTATCCCCATTATATTGCCGGTTCACCACATTAATCGCGTTATCCCCGTTTTCTCGTCGATTCCTCCAGGAATATATACTCACGATATCGATCGGCAAACGGATATTGAACGATTAAGCCGAGCGGAGATCAAGGCGTCGTCCTGGTTTACAAGAATAAGTAATAATTTGATTTCCTCCAATCGAGGAACGCACGTACACATACACGTTTGAAATCGCAAAAATGAAAGATAAAGGAATAAAAGACATCAATTATTTAGCATACTTTCCATTACCATTTTAAAATAAAAAATATTCATCCTCAATATTTTCCCATTAATCAAATACATCTATTATCTTGTGATTTTGAAATGCGATTCGAAACCATTATCGGAGATGAATTTCCGCTATAATGATATCACTGCATAACGAGGCGCTTATTAGCCAGCTAGATTGCTAGATTGCACAAACATCGGAATGCATCGATGTCATGACCGCGACGCGACTGGTCGTATCAATAATGAGGCAGACCAATCGATCGAAACGAATGACCCAAAAGCACCCACGATTACCCCGACGAGATACATCATACATCGAGGAAGATGCTCTCCTGTAGCATCCGGCTGGACCTCTCCATCGAGGAATTTGTCACCGAGTCAGCAAAAAAAGCGGGAAAATTCCTGAACGACCGGGATGCATTCAATTCCGGAACTTATTGTCAACTCGAATATATAGAATCCGCGACTATAGTTGTAGAAATTCAATTCCAATAAAAATATTATTGCAACAAGATTTGATCGTAGAGTCCCGTAAAAAAATGTAAAAATTTTATTTCAAGTAGATTTCGCTTCGAGAGAATTTCAATTCATTGCCTATCAATGCTTTGACATGCCTTTCTAGATTCTCTTTTAGTAAAAAATATTTTTACGTTTCATTAAAAATTTCTAATTGATACTTTTTATCTCATTGATGTTCAAAAAGAATTATTGAAGCGTGAGTATGTATATACACATGTGGTTATTATAATACATTATTTCTCTCTCTTATACATTTTTACATTTACATTTACCCTGAAATCATAGTAATCGTACGTATACTATACGTTCCTCTGATTCATATTTACCACAATAAAAAATATTAATACATGTATAGTAAGATTAATCGAACGTATTTTATATTGTAGTAGCAGATATTAATATTTTATTTGCGGTACAAATTAATCAGAGAAATCTTTTATAAAATTCTAATTCAATACCATATTGTCCCACGATTACCATGATTTTCCGGATAAATTTTAAGAGAAAATTCTCTCTGTGTAGTTTTGTCAGATTTCGCTAATTTAATGCGTGTCTATATTACGCACCTGACAATCAACGTGTCAATTATCGAAGGTATCGACATCCTGTCGATACTGTATATTTTATGAAAAAAAAAGTGTATAAATACCTTTTTTTCCTCGTTTCCTCCCACGACGCGGATTATTCACGTCTCTCTCTTTCTCGCTAATCCTCTCCTCTCGTCAAGCGAATCAATCGTCGATCCGTGCAATTCCAACACACAGTACGCGTGTTGAAATTTAATGCAGTCCGAGGTTTCTGGTAGGCGAGGAATCCCGATCCTCGTGCGACCCGCTTATTCACCTTTACGGTACTCGCGACTCGCGGTACTCGGCCTCGTCGCGCCGGCGTGGAAACTCGCGCGACGATATACGCAAACGCGCGCTTTTACGACGCTTCTCTGTCCCGTATATTTTTGGAATTTCCTCGAAACATTACGGAAAACACATCGTGATCCTTATATTTATACTCGATCGAAAATACATCTTTTTATACCGCTTATTTACAACGCTAAATATTAATGTCACGAAACTGTCGATACACCGCGAACGTGGTTCCGATAATATCTACTATATTTGTACGCGCGTATAAATAGATGATAATTTATATAGATTTTTCCTTAGGAGGAAAGTTATTTCTCGTCGTTTACGATTTAGAAGTTATTATCGCTATCGCAACATTTAGAAGGAAATCTATATTAATCGAGGAAATTGTGCACAGAGAGAATTTTCTCTTAGAAATCAGAATTACCTTAAAAATCATAGTAATCATACATAAAATATTAATAAGAATATTAATAATTTACCACAATAAGATGTAAAATACGTTCGATTAATGTTACTATGTATTAATCAGAGATCAAGGTAAATTCTCCCACGATTACCATGATTTTCAGGGTAAACTTTAAGAGAAAATTCTTTCCGTGTGATTAAAAATAATATGATCAATACATTTTAGAAGCTATACGCGGAACATTACATTCGCATTTCGTTTTGTCAGAAGAATTTATGTAAAAAGAGAGAATAGTACACTCGATGATGTGAAAGAAGAAGAGCTCTTCAATTCTCGTCGTTAGTGGCGCGCATTGACCTGGACGATTGCATTCGCGAAGAAAGGCGAGGAATATTAGAGAAGGAATGTAGAGAGAAAGAGAGATGAAGCATTGTGACGAGAGGTAGGGAAATCTCCATACGAACGATGCCCTTCCTAGGTGGCCTCGGGGCACCTCCAAGTAGTAGTCATCGTCGTCGTCATCGTCGTTGTCGAGAGGAGAGGCCCAGTGACCGACATTCCCCTTTCTCCTGATCCACGTACTCCTTCCTTCGATCCTCCTCCGACCGGATCTCGCGGCGACACTGCGATCGTTTACGCACCGACGACCCGAACATCGCGAGCAGCCGGAACCTGCGGACTCATCGCCCTGAATTTCCGCTTGAATGAAGGAGAATCACTCGAGAACGTCACGAGCGAAATCTCGTTCCCGATATCTAAGAGAACAAAATATTTTCACGCGTGAATACACAATATTTCAACTGACAATGTAAAATAATACATATATAGTAATAGTATAATATATATATATATACACATATAATAGTATATATAATAATATATAATAATAATATATATAATAATATACTATTATATATAGAATAATATGTAATAATACAATATAATAGTATATTATATAATAACAGTAAAATAAAGAATTTTTTTTATACAAAATGAAATGCTTGCATGTATACGTATAAACATTATTAATATACATTATTTAGCAAATTATTATTATTTACAGTTATTATATTATTAACATTCAAACAAATAATTCCAAATATAACGGTAAAGTTAATTCGATTTATATAAGACTTCGAATTTCTGCGATTAATCTCCATATCTATATATTAATTTTTCCTTGATAATGCTCCTTTCCACTGATGATTATCGCGATTATTATTCGTATTGTAATTTAATCGTAATTTCTGGCCGCAAAGTCGTTGCGTTAACGCAACAATCCGCAAACGCATTAACGCCGACGACGGAGTTCCATTAACAACAATACGGATCCCGCGCAAATTCAATTGCAAACACAATTACAATTCCGCTAAGTGATACGCGTACGACTTCAGACCTTACGTCATCGCGTCGATCCGTATAGAAAGCCTCGAGGGACGGGATAAGCGAAGCGTGGCGCATCGCTCATTTCCGCTTCTATTAACGTTTTGTCGCTACGCGTGCATAACTTACATACGTTTGTGCACCTGCAGCTCGAAGCGCGTCATCGCGATGCGTCCAGATTCCAGATCTCTCGTCATCACATCGTGCCGGCTTCTCGCGATCGATAAACAATTCCGCGCCGTGATTTCGCATCCGCCGCGACCCAGGCCGTGCAAACGTAATTACCGTTAATTGCGATTGCCACTCGACCGTACGGCATATTGAAAATTTTATAGTCGCCCCGGCGATTGTCCATGTATACATATATATGATGTATGTATATGTATACACGCCTATTGTAGATATTACACACATGTGGAGTCGGAATGAATGACTCGATACATGAATTTTGCTCCGATATTGGGACTATGTATTCGGCACGAGTACTTTAATTATGTAAAAAAATATTTTCGCACCACATGACTGTATCATTAGTCGGAAAAAGTAGCTGCTTTAAAGTGCAATATAATAAATTATTACTTTTTTATGCGCGCGGGACTTACCTTATTGTTATTCATTTTTATTTTGACGAAAAAACGAAGCAGATGTTATATATATATATATATATATATATCTTTTAGAAGTTTTCCAATAAAGTTTCTGAAAAAATCAAACTTTCATTAATTCTCTCTATTCTTGAATTTAATTCCAATGATGACCTTGCTACACAGATATCGATAAAAAGAAACTCGTACAGAATCAACCTAGCCTCAAATATGGCAAATTGATATACTCACATTTAATACTCGCGATTTAATACTGGATACCATTTTCGTATGAGACAAATCAAACTCGGACCACTTTTATGTATTATACGGAGATATTTTGCACGTACGATCTTGAAATAAACCAGACGAAAGCGGAAATTCGCGCACTACGTGCGCGCACATTTTAGCGCGAAACGCAAGATGCGATGCGCGGCGCGCGCATGCGCGATGCGCGAATGCGCGCGCAACAGATGCGCGGGATGCGCGCGCAACAGATGCGCAGTGGACTCCTGCGCATGCTCCACGTAAATGACAAGCGCTACGTCAACATAACCTGTACTTGGACGTGTCACCGTCTTTACCTTCCAATTAGATGTTTTTTCGTGTATTTAAACCTTCTCGCTACACACATATAGGGTCGAGAGTTCGTGAATTAATCGGTCAAAATGGTGTCCGTTTTGAATACCGTCGATACCGCTCACGAGGATATGATACACGACGCTCAGATGGATTACTACGGTTTGAGGTTAGCTACGTGCTCGAGCGATCACTCGGTCAAGATATTCGATTTAAAGAACGGCACTCAGAGTCTAGTTTCCGTTCTCAAGGGACACAACGGACCCGTTTGGCAGATCGCATGGGCGCATCCCAAGTTTGGCAATCTTTTAGCATCTTGCAGCTACGACAGGTATGTACAGTGTTGGATTGATGCTTGATTTTTTTTTTTAGAATGTTAAATCCATTTTTTTAATGTTATTTAAAATCCTTTTTTGAGTATATACACTTGTTAACTTAATTTTAAGGTACTTAATAATTTAATGAAAGATAAAGGTAAAATATCCAACAATTTGACATATGTACAAATGTTACGCAGAAAAGTGATCATCTGGAAGGAGCTTGGAGAATGGACAAAGATATACGAGCACGCGGGTCACGATTCGTCTGTCAATTCAGTCGCCTGGGCGCCCCACGAGTTCGGTTTGATTTTGGCTTGCGGAAGCTCGGATGGGTCAATCTCTATCCTCACAAATACCGGAGATACCTGGCAAATTCAGAAAATAACAAACGCTCATACAATCGGCTGCAACGCGGTTGGTTGGGGTCCGGCAGTCGATTCAGGCTCAGTTGACTCGGTCAGTGCGACTCAACAGAGGAGTGGTCCTGTTAAGAGATTAGCCACAGGTGGCTGTGACAATCTAGTAAAAATATGGAAAGAGGAAGGGGACAGATGGATAGAAGAGAATAAACTAGAAGCACATAGTGATTGGGTATGATTTAATATTCCGATGAAAATATGTTGGGAGATTCATTGTAAGAATTTATGTGTAATTTATCAAACAGGTTCGAGACGTCGCCTGGGCACCAGCGGTCGGACCATCCAGAGCCACTTTGGCCTCTTGCTCGCAAGATCGCCGCGTGGTTGTGTGGACCTCTAACGATTACGCTAGTTGGACACCAAACGTTCTTAATGTCTTCGACGATGTAATTTGGAATATTGGCTGGTCGTTAACTGGCGGTATCTTAGCGATTAGTGGCGGAGACAACAAAGTCTCTCTCTGGCGTGAAAATTCCGAGGGACAGTGGGCGTGTATCTCGGAATTGAATAAAGATCAAGGAAATCTTAACAATCCAGATCAACGCGCATTGTAATGTCGTTAATAGAAATGTAAAATATGACATTTTATATAAATAAGTATTGTAAATTAACACATTTGTTTTGAAATTTAAGTTTATCTAAGCAGATTACAGAGTTATTACGAGACTTCTTTGCTACTAGTATTTTAATATCCACATACATTCATCCAAAATATAATATAATGTTGTTTAGTTGCAATTAGAATAAAGATACATTTTAATATATAATTATTATTGAAAAATTATTGATATTTTGAAATATATATTGCGACAAAATATTTTTTACAAATAGATTACATTTTCAACAATGTATATTCGGTTTATTATTTTTATATAAAAGAAATACATTTTTCTAGCAGTTATATAAATGATTTATATTAATTATTTTATATTTTATGACTCACTAATCTTGAGTGTATAAAGATGCGGCGAAAACTATGTCGCGTTTTATTGCAGTCGAAGCTTCCTCCATCTTTTCTTTCAAAATGGGATCACCTATGGTCACAGCCGCGTTTTTGACATCTCGCAAGGTTTCGCCGAGTTGCTGTATGCATCGAACTATAATTCCCTCTTGGATGTCAGTCATTTTCATAATCTCCGCAAAGGATTTAGCCTGTGCCCATTCGTAAACAACTTCCACCAAACCGATATTCAACGGTGGAATCGTTGATAATTGATACTGTTGCTCTAAACGTTCCAGATCCGCATGCACCTCATTCATTATCTTGCAACCCTGAAAAAAAGCATCCCGAAATTATTTGATATAAGTAAGTTTCTTTAAACTTTACTAATTATTCGTAAAAAAAAGGACAAATTAACACATACATTAGCGAGATTCGGGGTGAGCTTAGGTTCCGAATCTGTGCGTTGCTGAAAGATCAGCGCTGACAGCAAAGCTACTATTTCTGCCGGTTGTAAAACTGTTAACACATTCTTGAGAATCAACTCCGTTATCAGCAATTCGTTGCTACCCATTTGCAGTGCGACCCTTCCTTTTAAACCAACTGGAATACAATATTAATTGTGCTATAAAGAAATTTTATTCGCACGCAGCTGCTATTGTACATTGGCAGTACTTTTATTGTAATAAACAAACCTCTTTCATCGCTATCTATATATCTCAAATGTTTGAGCAACGCCACCATATTCAGATAATCCGGATACAGTGCCATTCCTTCGTCACTAAGTTTGAGTTGGAGCTGTCGCTTTTTATCCTCGCGTTGATTTCGTTCAAATACAGATTTAAACTGTTCTTCGAAATTTGGTATTTCCATGCATTTCATGTCGGTAAGTTTATTTTTCAATTTGTTTCTATGCTGCAATTGAACATCGTATCTCCTCAGAGAGGTCTCTTCGATATACGGACATAAAACTTCAGCATTTGCGGCAGCGTTAAATGATAGAGAAGTTAATTCTTGAACCGCCGTCTGACACGTCTGTCCTGGTGGATCGTTTCTAGAGAAAAGAAATAGCAAAATGAATAAGATATTCTGAGAATTTGCACTACTTTGTTATATTGTTATATTACTTCTTACTTGAATCGTGAGATTTGCCTCTTTTCCCAATCATTCAGTATTAAAGAGCAATCGACTTTTATCTGACACTTTGTTATCTTCAGTATATGCCACGGGTACAAAGTCACAACTTCGTGCGATGCATTGGAGCTCGGGACGAATATCTTTTTTTTCGTGAGACTAATAATTTCGCACCATTTTTCGTATATCTGAGGACTCTTGAATTCAGCAGCCTCGGAATTGGATGCGTCCGCGTCCTTGAGTATCAATACTCTGTATTGGATGGAACTTTTATGACGCAAGACTTGCAGTAATAGGCCTAATTTGTTGTAATGATTCGCATACGATATTAACAAGATTCTGCCTTCCGTCAAAGCTTTTCCAGACTTTTTGCATTCGAACAAATAGGGATTTAAGAATTTTACGTCCTCTAAATAATCGACTGCCACTTGATAAAACGTACACAGCTTCTTCTGCATCTCAGTCAAAGGCGGCAGATTCGATAACTCTCGCTCGAGTTTTCGTAATTCGTTGCTATATGTCGCTTCCTGCGAAGCCAGCGGTGATTCCTTGAAAGACTTGCGCATCATCGCTTCAACGGTGACGGATTCGTTCACCCTTCTCAAATTTAAGAGCATGGAATACGTGACTTTGAATTTCGACTCCAACGTCTGCGGCTCGCCGCACATCATAGGTTTCAGGTCGTTAAAATGCGGTACGTCGTATCTGCACATCACTATAACTGTTCCCGTTGTGTCGTGACCTCGCCGTCCGGCTCTACCAGCCATTTGTATGTATTCGGTTGGGTAGAGGATACGAAAGTTGTTCCCGTCGAACTTTCGTATGGAATCAAACACCACCGTGCGAGCCGGCATATTGACTCCCATGGCGAAAGTTTCTGTCGCAAAGAGTAACTGAAATGCGGTAAAATAATTCTGTTATATATATTGTTTCTAAGCTTTAAATTCTTTAGATATTTTCAGTCTAAGTAAAGAATTTTTTGTTTTTGCAAAATTACCTTTACAACTCCACTTTGGAATAACATTTCTACAATTTCTCTTAAAATTGGCAATATCCCGCTATGATGTACACCCACGCCTTTCTCCAGAAGTTCTTGCATCATAAGTACTTGCGGTAATTCTCTATCGCTACCCTTTAGGTTTTTTATATTAGATTGAAAAAATGCATGCACTTGATGCTTCTCCCTCGCGGTTGTTAAATCGAGATTTCTCAACGTGGCAGCATTCATATCACAGCGTTTTCTCGACAGAGTAAATACAACGACAGGTAACATATCCTATAAAATGTGTGATAATGTGTCATATTATTGTATGCATAAAAATAATATATAACTATAAAATTCTTTGCAAAAGTAGCATGAGATTATTGATTGTACATTTTTTTGGAGATGACTTATAAATGCTCTCCACAATACTTCTTCTTGTCTCGGAGTCATCTGATTTCTTCTCCTATAATCCTTTGGATTTTTATCCTTTTTTGGAGCAGATGAATTAGTCGCTTTATACCACCTATAAATTATCAAAATATTATTACACTATGTACTTGTTTTGCTCGCGAATATATATGTGAAAGCAGGAAGAGAAATTATTTACCCATCCAATAAAAATTGACTGTTGCCATCAAGGACTAGAAACTTATCATCTTTAGTTTTACCATCAGTACCAGTGTATAAGTAATGCAGAAGAGGTATTGGCCTTTTCAAAGTGCTAATCACGTACATCTTTCGCTTTTTGATACGACCGACCCAATCCGCAAATATTATAGGATTTGGTACAGTCGCAGATAACATTACTATATTGATAGTTTGAGGTAAAAGAATGACAATTTCCTCCCATACATGACCTCTCTAAAAATGAAAAAAATAATATAAATTACTGTATCGTAAAAATATCGTTCTTATAATTAGTATAATCAGTATTTCTCACATCTTCATTATTTATATAATGCACTTCATCAAAGATGACAAATTCTAAGTCTCGTAAAACATCGGATGCGCAATACAACATTGATTGTAGGATCTCTGTTGTCATGATTAAGCATGAAGCAGTTTGATTTATTTGCAAATCACCCGTTATTAATCCAACACTTTCAAATTTTCTCTTAAAATCGCGATATTTCTGATTTGATAACGCTTTTATGGGCGATGTATAAATCACTCTGAAATAAGATGTAACAATCAGAAAACTAATCAATTATTTATACAATAGCAATATTAAGTCTGCATCAACTTTGCAGATTTACCTTGTCATATGTTTTTGACTTAATGCAATGGCATATTCAGCAACAGTAGTCTTTCCTGCTGATGTATGTGCAGCAACAAAGACATTGCAATTTTCCTCCAACTTGAGAACAGCTTGCTTCTGAAAAGTGTCTAATTCATAATCAAATTTAATTGCTGGATCAGGTACTCTCTTATCAAAATCAGTTATCGGTGCAGACACATCCAACTGTTCTGCCCATTCTGTCTTTGCAAATTCTGTTTGTTTTTCTGATATTTTCAAAACAGGTATATTCATCTCTTCAGGCAAAACGGGAATCTCTATAAGTGGAATATTGTTGTCCGAAATTTGAACGTTCTCCTTTTTCGACTCCAAAGACCATACACCAAGTGAATTTCCCTCCTCGTGTATAACAGCCATTAAATTGATATTATCATTGATTTTTAATTCTTCAGACTTTTTAATTTCCATTTCTGTTTCATTCGTTGTGCAATTAATCGGTGTGCAATTGTCGCTTTTAAATTCTATACCCGAGCTAAATCCTTTGGCTAATGTCCTCAAATCCTTTTCAAAATCAATATCATTTAGGAATTCATTTTCAGGCAATTTAGGTTCTTCAAATCCACCAGGCCAAAAAGGAATATTACTAGAATTACCTATAAAAAATATAATGCAGTATTATTTTTATTACATTTTAATTTATATTTGTTAAAATTTTGATCAAGAGAAATATATATGTATATATAAATATAATAATAAAATTGCAGAGCACCTCGAACTCCATCCATAAGTGGTCCAGGTGCACGAGTCATAGACATAGAATTCCTTGCCGTTTCTCCTGCACCTTGCAAGAGAATCTCCTGCATCTCACCAATCTTGCCTGTTATTGGATCGCGATCATACTTCAACGTAGTATTAATCGGAGCCAAATCGAACTCCAATAATGAACAAACATTAGGTTTGCGTGGCCAGTAACATTGAGCATTGTCCAACTGATGTATAGGTAATCGTTCAGGACATTCAATGTATTCTCGTAATTCTAATTTAATGTCAGGCCAAATTGGCGGGGGCTCAATGAGTAACTGTAAAACAACCAACATTCAAATACATAAAACCACTATAAAGTCATAAACTTGATACTTAATGACAATTACCTCTGTTGATTCATTCATTTTCGCTATGTCGAGTTGGTAGTTTCTTATTTGTTTATATTTATTAATAAATTACACTAAAATTATATAAATACATAAGCTTTCAAAAATCATGGAACTGACAAACCAAGAAATAACTTGACAGATTCAATCATTTATTAAATAATAATCATTCATTATTTGAATCATTCAAATATCCGAGGATACTCCAAATAATTGTTTACTTCATACAATTAAGTACAGTTGATCACCAGTGAACAAACCTCTCCGCCGTCAGGATTAAAATATACAGTGTCATCTAGCAGCGAGAGTTACGAATTATGTATGACATATACTCTTATATTAGTGTGTGTACGTTATTTTACTTATCGCGATGTTACCGACGATCGGACAGATCTAAATTCACCATTTATTTCATTCAACCTCTTTTATTAGAAAACATACGTAATAATAAAGTCGCAACCGCGCAAAGTGTCAATAATTTTATATTTAACCTTTTCCTATCTTTTTGCACAATTCTGGTATGCACTTATATATGTAAGTACGCAATATATACACATTTTATTCCATCTGAGTTTTCAATTTTACTCTGTCTTTATGCTTATTTTTCTTCCGCAATCGCTCAATATGCTTCTTTAATTTACCCTTACTTTTTAATTCTTCATACTGCGAGACTAAATTCAGTATTTTTGTCTCAGCTGCAAAAAAACAAACAAAATGAGAGATAACAGTTGCAAGATAAGTAAGAATTGTCAACTATTTCGTTAACTTACATTTTTTCTTAAAGACAGGTTTCTCTCCTTGTTTTATTGATTCTAGCAGTTTCTTTTTCTCTTCCTGCTTCTTCTCTTCTTTCTCCTTGCGCCTATTTTCTTCCCTCAATTGATTTTCAAGCCTTTGAATGAGATATTTTATCTTTCTTACAGTTTTTGGATCAGTAGCCTCTTTTAGCTCATTTTGCAAGGTTTTGAGATCATTCTTCTTTAAATCATTAATAAATGCATAAGAATGTTTGAAAGCTTTCTCATTAAATGTACCACATAAACTATCAAATCTGGGATCTCGGGCTGCAACTTTTTTCACCGGAACTATCTCTCTAAATGTAAAAACTGGTTTCTTAGAAGACATTTCACGTGGTCTGTTCTTATTTTCCCGTTTAAATTCTGTCTTTTTCTTGTTTTTGTTTCCAAATACTGCTTTATTATATACCTTGGTTCCCAGTTTCTCCTTTAATTTTAGCAATTCTTCGAAACTCATATCTTTCAGTTCCTCTCGTATTTGCCCCTAAAATGCAAATAGAAAATGTATTACTACATATATATATATATATAAACAGTATATATTTTAATAAAAATTTTTAATAAAAATAATAGTTATAAAGTTAAGTTAAATAAGAAAAATATCTTACATGATTTTTATTCTCTGCAAGTAAAGATTCTACATCATCACTCATGTTGAATTTTATATTATGAAATATTTAGGTTAGGATTACAATTATTTGTGTAGTAGCATTCGATACGATTTTCTATTTGGACTTTTGCTTGTAATTTCCAAAAGTTTCTTGATCTTGACACAAATATAAATTTAAATACTAAAGAAGAAAAGACGAAAATCTGAAAATTGAGAGTGCAGAAGAAAAACGAGTGTCGGTTCTATCATAAACTGTGTTCATGACGCAACAAGTGATGGGTTTGATTAACCAATCGAAAGATTTCTTTATTCCGATTGGTCAGTCAAACTCTTCAAAACTTTCGCGGCATTAAACATATAAAATACATAGATGGAACATTGATTGCATAATGTATTTTCATAAAAAATCAATTATTCGTCTAGAAGAAGATAATAATATGACACCCTGTATATTAGACATTTGATTAATTTCTTTATACTATGCATTACGTGTAGATGCATTTTCAATTCAAATCTCTCTGGATCGGCCCTAATGAGCAAATCACGTGATGGCGCGCGCAATTGCATTCATGCATTCGCATGTTCGACGAGCTTCGTTTACGGAACCGTGTTTGCACGTATCAGATTGCTGCGACAGTCCCGCTATAATGAGAAATATCAGGGGTAAAAGTTTTTTGAAATATTTATAATATTTTTCCGTTTTTCTCTGGCTCAAAAATTTATTCAAATCCTATTACAGTTTATACTTGTGAGACAAAAATTTGTTGTAAGAATTTAGCTCAATATTTCACGTAACCTATCACGAATTTATCGAACATGACAAATTGATTGTCTTGTAGAAAATTTTTAGGGTTCTAAGAATTTTTCAATAGTAATAGTCCATCAGTATAACACGATACATTATTCATACGATACATTAAATTCAACATATCGATCTAATAATTTATAATTATATATATATATATATATACATATCTATAAATTATTGTCTCCATAATTTGTAAAATAACATATTAATCATATATGTGTTATATTAATTTGAACATAAAACATGATATAATTTTTCTAATGAAATTTTAGAAATAAACAATAATGAATTATTAGCGATATATTGGACATCGGAATTATTCGAGGATCGATGAGAGTTCTGTGAAATATATATCTTATTCGTTGCGCGTATTTATTCCGCATTGCGCAAGATTACGAAATATCTAATTTTACGCAATGCGCAGCGCAAATACGTGTCATTATATCGAGATATACAATATGCCCTTTTACGACCAAACGCTCGTAAAGGAGTAAACATTCGCGAATGCGGATTATGTACGGATTATGGTACTGCGTAAAAACCGACGTCTACTCGGTAGCTCGCTCTATTGGTGCGCTCGCGACCGCCAAGGTCGTCCGAATAATCCAATAAATATTATTGTTAATTCCTGATTGCATTGATATCTTCAGCTTTCAAATTGCTTTTTCGAGCGCAACCGATTCTCATTGTGTCTTTGATAATCTCCCGAAAATGAGCTCGAACGAGCTTTTTTTATTCTTGAAATTGCGTGTCGAAAACTATACATATATGCGTATGTACACGACATGACAAATCCCACGTCACAATTATGTAATATAGTGTATGTATAGATGGGGACAGGAATTAATGCCTGAAAAGCTCGTATCAGAGACTATATGCATTGAAAATTAAAATTGAGATTGATGTTCAACTAATTAGGAAAAAAAATTTTATTTTATGTTCCGATTAGTCAAAGTTAGTTTCAATCTCGAAATTTTAATTTTTAATGCGTATTTGATACGGATTTTAGGCAAAGTATAAATTATATCAAATTTATCGAAGTATATAAAATATGCATTTCTTATATATATGTCTTGATATGTGCAAGACAAATAACAAAAAAATGTTTTTTATTAAATAAAATTTATTTCGTGAATTTATCTGGAACTATAGTTTTTTCTAAATTTATATTATTGTCGTAACAACTTGTATCATTAATATAACGCTTTTCTCTAGCTTTTGATGAGGATGACTAATGCAGAATAAAATTAGACACGATTCACAGAAATGTAATAACGCGAAACAGATACGAAATACGAATATAATTCTAAAATCAATAAACTTGACGAATAGAATTTTTACAGAAAAAAATTATAGAATAAAGAATTGATTTAAACATCAGTACATTATTTTAAAAACATATTTAAAAAATAACTCTCCATAATTTATTGATTTATCGACTTTCGTAACACTATAAAAATAAAATTACATTTGTTTTTTTAAAGACTGGCACAATGATTTTTACAGCTAATATTACGTTCAATAACTATATTAATTTTTTTAAATTTTAGGGCCAAGATCCTGATAGGTCTCATAAAACTACATACAATAAATCATGAGCAGTCAATTGGAAATAAAACTCGTAATATGTGAGTTATAAATCATATTATATAATATATAAGATTTGCAAAAATAAATATTAATATATACATAATATTAACATATATACATAATTATATATGTATATAATATACATTATTAACTTGTAAAATAAGTATTAACAACATTAGAATAATATAACATTAAAGTAGCAACTAATAATAAATTGGCATTTGCATATATTTAAACACGAGCGATATTCATAGATTTAAATTTCGCGCAACTTCTCGCTATTGGTCACGTGATTGAATTCTAGTTCGCTGACGTTCGGACTCGCAAACAGATGTCGTTGCGACAACTAACTTCCCCCTCACGCCAACCCAACCTTTTCACGAGGGAAGTTTGGACTTGATAGTGCTAGGAACATGGCGGGTGTGCTGTTCGAGGATATTTTCAACGTGAAAGACATCGATCCGGAGGGAAAAAAATTCGACAGGGGTGAGTCCGTATCAAAGTTTATATCCCAACGTGTTCGAACGTCGTCTCGTCGTGACGGCGCGCGCATCATTGTCACTGTCAAAATGGCAGCATCTCGCTACTTGACCTTGCCGATAGTGCCGGCACAAAGCACATGGCACATGACAACACGATAGTACGACAGTTCTTGCTCTCAAGTCGACGAGACAAGCGGTCCTTTGGTCGATATCGATAGATTCAACCAAATTGTTCGTGCGTTATGTCAATCGATGCGTTCGTCGAACCGGCATCGAGATCGTATCAATCAAAAGCGAAATTAATTCAGAAAGCGCCAAAATAATCGGGCAGCTAATGAAATTATTGATTCTCGACGAAAAATTGCAGTTTGCCATTTTATTTCTTTAATAGGAAACATTAAAATATAACATGTATCGTATTATGTTAACATAACCTAACTTAACCTAACTCACTAAGAATTTGTGTTCTGTATTAATTAGTTTCAATGAAAAATTAATTTCTCTTGAAACTAATGTATTTTGTCTTTCGCGTCTGATTCTATCTCGTTAAAATTTATATTCGTCTACTATAATCTCCATAAGCCATACTTCGTAATTGTGGGATATAAATGTGAGGTGTATAGATTTTGAATTTATTCTCTCATCAAGTTTGTGGTTGTGTAAACAAAAATGAAATTTACATATATATGTAATTTCGGTGAATTTCGATGTCTTTCTCTCTCTCGATTCTGATGACAGTCGCGTGGAAAAGAACGCATACAATTTTTTTTACACTCTGGTTTTGAGCATCTTAATAACAATTAACAAATATAAAGAACAATTTCTAGATCGTGTATTCTGTGGAAGCAGACTTGATTTTGAGATTCGCGCGCCTTTCTCTCTCTTTCTTCCCTCGCTCCGGAAAAGAATGAGTAAATCTGCGTACGCGACAGGTGTCGATATCTCTCGCGTCCTGGAACGACCTCGCAGCCTCGGTGCCCGCGACCTTTTTCCGTTTGACGTATCTCGCCCGCTCATGGACCACGGGAGAGCGGAATTCGCAGAACGACGTAGATCGAAGGAGTCGACCGTGACCGAATTCCCTGCCGGAATATATTGGATCTTCGCTGTGTGTACCGCGCCCCTTTCAACCTTGCCGCACAAAGATTATCGACGTACTACCAGCCGCTTTTTCTCTAACGGATACATGTATTTAGAGTGACCCAGTAGAGGATGTGCATTGATCGGAAGGAACGTTGCCTCATCTGATACAAGATCGCATGAAATTCAAATATTCAGTTAAATGTTAAATGTTTATGTAATTCTTGTTATTTTCAAAGGAAAGACAAAATTATTCCGATCGAAAATCTTTCCGAACAGGTTCATAATACCCAGTTTAGCAAAATGATATATGTATCTCTCATGTGAAAGAGATAGAGAGAGAGAGAGAAAGAGACGTATGACATTTTGTGATATGTATAATGTCCATTATATTTTTTATCATCTCTTTTCGAAACTCGAGTATTCGTGATCATCTCTGCCAGTGTAGATGATTTAAAAATTAGCCAGATAAAGATGAGATAAAAATTCGTAAATTTCTCTTAGATGGAGGTAATTTTATTTTAAATATATCTAGATAACTTTTAGATAATATTATTTTCAAAAGTACTTATGTAAATACAGTTATAAAAAAATATAAATTATTAAAAGGATATAAAAAATATACTTACATTTTTTTGTAAGTTTTTATCGCTTACTGCTCAAGTTCTCTATTTAAGCGTTTTGATATGTCTTATGATTTTAAATTAAATTATCTGAATATTATTCTAGATAATTTAATAAAAATAACACTTTTTTATCTAAGATGCAGATATAGACAATACATATTTTTATTATCTATATATAAAGATAACGTTAAAATTGTATCTAGATGATCATTTTATAATTTTATTTAGATAACAGCAAACTGATCTCTACATTGATATTACGATAAAAAATGAAATGTAAATATCTACATTACAAATAGACTTTCAGTCGGAAGAAACGAATTATTATTTTTCAATGCGAATAATTAATCGAGAGAGAAAAATTGTGTTCAGTTTTGCGTCTGACAGTTATTCCTTTATTGAAAAGCACTAAGTACATAAATTCTCGTACAATCAAAATCTCTCCTGTGTACATTATATTATATTAAAGATAGAACTCGAAACACGATACGAATCGAGGATTGTATTTCCGATTTAGATAACCCAGATTATCAGAGCGATAAGTCTGTTGGAGAGTCCAGGGGTGCTCCTTTCGCTCCATCCTCTCTCTCTCTCTCTCTCTCTTCGCGTCAGCTTTCATCTCGCGTTCGTGATAAAATACGTTATCACGATACATACACCGTATATATATCGAGCGGCGAGAGCGCGCTCC